TTTCTTTCTTTCTTTTTTTTTTTGGCTTTCAGGCACTAAGGGCAGCTTCTATTTTATTTCACTATTTCATTTTATTTTCACCTTGACAGCTGCCCAATAAAAGATTCAAGTGAGACCTCAAAGCCTGAGATCATCCAGATGCTAATCAGCAGTGCCAGCATCCCGGGTCCTAGAGGAAAACAAGCCCTGGCATGAATAATCTACTTTTTATGAGGATCCAGTGTTGACTTTTTAAATGGCTTTAGCTCTTTTTCTCAATGATTTTTTTAAAAGAAAAAAAAAAATCCAGGAAATTTCTAGCCTGTCTTAATGAACCAAAGTAGATTATGTGAATCTCCTGATCTGTAAGACATATAAAATATGTTTTGACCTAACCCAGCATCTGAGGGCAGAGAGTGCCAGCTCCTTTGTGGCTTTTGGAAGGCTGGGGCAACTGTAGTGGATGACACCAATCACAGTGTGCTTGCCAGTTTAGCCACAGTCAGGAATATTAAGCCTTATCTGATTAAGAGAAAGACAGGTAACCTATTTAAGATGGATGTAGTACTTCAGATGGGGAAATTTGGTTTTTATACTAATCCAGCTGGGAAATCAATCACAAGTAGAACTGTAGATCTTCATTAACGGCAAAAATGTGCATTTCCCCCCAGTGTTTATTCCCTTCCTTCACAAGATCTGGAGATTAGCACCTGCTGGAATCTTGTGCTACCTGTGGGATCCACATTTGATGTCGTTCTTCACATAAGCCACAACTTACACATTGAGTGGGTGGGGAGATTCAACAGCCACTTCCAGTCCCGAGGAAAATAGCGGAACACCATAAACTACCCTACCCCAGAAAGAAATAGGATGAATGAAAAGCTTCACCCCAGGTGAGGGAGGCCTCGGATTCATGTCAGGAGAGGGAGGGAGCGTTGTATCTTTGGAACTCTGTCAGAAGCTAGAAGAAGGTGTTCTGAAGAAATACAGCTCCCCCCCACCAGCAGACACGAGCCTGTGATCAGTTCCTCTTTCATGGTCACAGGTAAACTCATTTCTTGTAACTTGCAAGGATAGCACTAGCCCCAGATGTAAGTGATGGAGAAACACAAATTATAAGCAAAAAAAAAAAAAATTTAAGAGAATAAAGCTAAAGATTATTTCTTAAAACACTTGAATTTCCCAATATGCCATCTTCATTATTTGGATTTCCTAAAGTTAAACACAGAACATAAGTAAAACAGAAATAGTTGAGAAAAAAGTTCAATTTTGCAGTTACTCCACATATACTAGAATTTTTTGTTTTGTTTTGGCCTAAATTGTCAGTATGTTTTCCCTAGAACTATCCATAATGCTACGTCCGTTGTGGGGGAACATACGTGGCACTTTCACCACTATTCATCTCTGAGATGCTATTTCCCAGCTACACAGAGGCATTAAGTTACTTTTTTAAAGGAGATAGATCTGGCAGCAAAAAGTCTGCCTTCCTTATCTTTACTAAATGGGATAGGCTATGTAGGTGAGCCTGACCAGGTTAGGCAGAACAAAAGTCCAACTGTGGATGTGGAGACCCACTGGATTAATTCATGAGGGTCAGTAGCAAGGAAAGATGGATCTCCTTATGATTATTTCATAGTGGCAGCCACAGCCCACCTGATACAGAGATTATTATAAGATGCAGGGCACCAGGCAGGTCACCCTTCCCCAAAAACCTATCCCTTCTGATCTCACCTGGGTCACAAAATGTGAGCATTAGAGTGCTGGACTTTTTAACCATGATGTGCATGTATTTGATAAACACTTGCTTAATAGTGACTGTGGGCCAGACCCTACAAGGGGCTAGACGTGGAGAAGGGTCTTGAGTAGAACAAATAAGAACTATAAGATTAGAGAAGAGAAAACTTCCATCTGAAGTGGCCTGGGAGGATGCCAGGAATATTACCGAAGGACATGGGCAGAGGAAATTGTCAGAGAAGAGATGTGCAGAAAGTACAGAGGAGGATAGAATAAACACAGGCGAGACTAGGCTGGGAGGAGCCTTCATGCCAGACTGATCAGGTGGGGCCGCATATTCTTGAGCAAGTGGAGATCAGAGCTGGGCTTAAGGAAGACAAAAGGCAGAGTGGAATGAATGGAGAGGAATCACAGGTGGGAAGATCAATTAAGAAGTTACCGTGAACACCTTCCGAAAAAGACAGAGAGAGGTGGGAAGAAGAGAGCCTACACTAGGGTCATGATCAGGGTCAGGGCGAGGAAAAGAGGGTTGTGGCAATGTGGTGGGAGAAGGGATGATGGAAGGAGAACATGCACAGCAAAGAGACAAGAAGTTCAGCTGTGGACACGCAGGTTACAGGTGCTGGCAGAACCAGAGAAAATGGACCCTTCAACTAGCAGGTGCATATAAAGGCCCAGAGCCCAGGGTTGCTGAAGACAAGTAGGAGTCAACAGGAGCTGTGGGCAGAGGTCAGTGACATGGGTCTAGGTAGAAGTGACTTCATCCCTAAGTCTTCTAACGTCTCCCATTTATGGAGCAGATAACGCTAGAAAGAATGCATTGAGGCCAGTCCTTGCCATTAGCCTAAACTCTCTTACCACTGGAAGAGGGTCCTGCTAATAAATCTGTGAGCGACATATGGGTAGCCTTCCATAAGCAAACTAAGTCCAGAGCCTAAGCTTCTGCTAAGAGAGAACACAGATGGATTGGCTTGACTGGGAGCCGTGGACGTTAGGGTACAGTAGACATCCATCAAGACCTAGGGTGGGGAAGGAGACAGGGAGATCCCCCTAGAGAGGTGGGAAGGATTGCTTCATGATTCTGTCCTCAGACCAATGGGAGAGGGAGGACAAGGAGCAGGAGGGATAAAGGAACTTAGGGTAGATCTGCCACCCATCCTCCATTGCTCCAGCACTTCTATCCTCCTACCTTTACAGGCTTTCTGCTTCTGTAGAAAAAGTAAGGCCAGGCACAGTGTCTCACACCTGTAATCCCAGCACTTTGAGAGTCCGATGGGGGAGGATCACTTGAGGCCAGGAATTCGAGGTCAGCCTGGGCAACACAGTGAGACCCCCCATCTCTACAAAAAAATTAAAAAATTTTTTAAAAGCAGGCAATGTGGTACAAGCCTGTAGTCTCAGCTACATGGGAGGAAGCTGAGGTTGGAGGATTGCTTCAGCCCAAGAGTGCAAAGTTGCAGTGAGCTATGATCATGCCACTGTGCTCCAGCCTGGGTGACAGAGTGAGACTGTCTCCAAAAAAAATAGAGTGAGACTCTGTCGCTAAAAAAAAGAGAGAGAATAAGTGTGGCCTTTTATTATTCATGCAGAATTGTGAGATTTCAGAAACTCTCAGATTCATTCATTTCAACATCAGAAGACCTGAGTTCATGCCCCAGCTCCACTATTAGACTGTGATTGACCATGTCTTACTCTCCTTGGTATCTGTTCCTAGTAGCTAAGTATCCTCGAACAAATAGTTTGGCATCTCTGGCCCTACATGTCCTCGTCTGTGCAGTGAGAATTCCACATCACAGGCAAGATCAGGTGGCATAATGTATGTGAAAGTACCTTGAAAATTGTCTCACTATACAGTTCCTGGTAGGGGATTATTTGTGTGAAATTTCCCGTTACCTCTGAGAAATTAAAGAAAGAAAAACAATCCTGTGTTATGTGGGCCTGTTTATGGGATGATGGGGATAGCAGTATTTGCTTTTCTTCCCAATTTGATGGTCCACATAATTTTTTCTCTAGCCTACCTTCCTTAGATATATATTATTAGACTTACAAAGCAACCCAGAGAGTTTGGACACCTGTCCACAATGAGCAGCAAAGCCCCACCAGGCTTTCCCACAGAGACCTCCCGTCCCTCTGAGCTGGCCCACGGGTGAGTGAGGCTCAGCCCTAAGGACACCAGCATCCCCACAGCTTTGGTGGACAGCACAGGCATGCCAGCTGGGGTGCGACAGAGAGGAAGGTTATAGGGAAGTTACAGGCTTGGTTATAGGGAGAGAATTAATACATCAATGTCTATCAACACCTGATGGCATGTTTTGGTCTCCTTCAATTCTTTATCCCACAATACCTTAACACGGTGCTTGTCATATAATAGGTCTTTAATAAATATTTATCAAATTAAGGAAAACAGGAAATAAGTAAGAGCAAATCCTGATCCTGGTCTGCACAACTTTCCTGCAGATGATAGCATAGGCCCAGGTGACTAAGAGAACCCAGTTTAATCGTGTGAGTCACTGTGAAGAATAAGCCCCTGGCTGTCAGTGTCACCATGAAGGACATCAGTGGGGCACTAAAAAGCTGTGCACCGTTACAATACATTCTCAAAGCTTGAAGAGGAAGGGTGAGCTTACTGAAGAACACACAGTACACTGGCTTGCTCGGGCTGCCGTACCAAAGTTCACAGACTGGGAGGCTTGAACAGCAGACATTTCTTTCCTTACGGTTCCGGAGGCCGCGAGTCCGAGATCAAAGCGTCAGCCGTGTTGTTTCCTCCGAGGCCTCCCTCCTTGGTTTGCAGGTGTCCGTCTTCTCCCTGTGTCCATCTTCTCCCTGTGTCCGTCTTCTCCCTGTGTCCATCTTCTCCCTGTGTCCGTCTTCTCCCTGTGTCCATCTTCTCCCTGTGTCCGTCTTCTCCCTGTGTCCTCAGGCGATCTTTCCTCTGTGGGTCTGTGACCTAATCCCCTCTTCTTTGAGGACACCAGTCCTATTGGGTTAGGGTCACCCATGTCACCTCGTTTTAACTCGATGACCTCTGTGAAGGCCGTGCCTCTAAGTAAGTCCCATCCTGAGGTGCTGGGGGTTAGGACTTCAACATAGGAATTTGGAGGAGGACATAATTTAGCCTGTAACAGTCAACAGTCGTATGATAAACAAATAATCTTTCCCTAATGTGTATATTTTGTATGCTAGGTTTTTTTAGTTTGGAGATTTTATAAGAAGAAAAATCATTCATAACTGTCATTCACAGTGGATTTCATGTTGACACTTTTTTTTTTTTTTTTATGTTTTAGGTCCACCGGGCCCCAGGGGTCCAAAAGGTGACAGAGGATCCCAGGGACCCCCTGGTCCAACTGGCAACAAGGGACAGAAAGGAGAGAAGGGGGAGCCTGGAGCGCCTGGCCCTGCGGGTGAGAGAGGCCCAGTTGGACCCGCAGGTCCCCCCGGAGAGCGTGGCGGCAAAGGATCTAAGGGCTCCCAGGGCCCCAAAGGTTCCCGCGGTTCCCCCGGGAAGCCCGGCCCTCAGGGCCCCAGTGGGGACCCAGGCCCCCCAGGCCCTCCAGGCAAAGAAGGACTCCCTGGCCCCCAGGGCCCTCCTGGCTTCCAGGGACTGCAGGGCACTGTGGGGGAGCCTGGGGTTCCTGGACCTCGGGGACTGCCAGGCTTGCCTGGGGTACCAGGCATGCCAGGCCCCAAGGGCCCCCCCGGCCCTCCCGGCCCATCAGGAGCAGTGGTGCCCCTGGCCCTGCAGAATGAACCAACCCCGGCACCAGAGGACAATGGTAAGTCCGAGTCCTCCCTCCAGCCAGGGGGACAGGGCAGTGCATGTGCTTGAGACTGAGCCAGCTCCTAGTGTGTGGCCCCACCCATGTTATTTGTTTTTGTTTTTGTTTGAGACAGGGTCTCACTCTGTCACCCAGGCTGGAGTGCCATGGCGTGATCTCGGCTCACTGCAACCTCCACCTCCCAGGTTCAAGCAATTCTCCTGCCTCAGCCTCCCAAGTAGCTGGGACTACAAGCGTGTGCCACCACGGCCAGCTAATTTTTGTATTTTTAGTAGAGATGGGGTTTCGCCATGTTGGCCAGGCTGGTCTCAAACTCCTGGCCTCAAGCCATCCGCCTGCCTTAGTCTCCCAAAGTGCTGGGATTACAGGTGTGAGTCACCACGTCTTGTCCCCCGCTCCATATTATTTAACAGCAAAGGCATCTTAGGGACTGGCACAGGAGCCCTGCTGCCAAAACAGGTCTCCACACCAGTCATGTGTTTCTCTGTAAACACCATCAGATTCTCTAGCACAAATTGTTTTATGTAGTATGTATGTATGTATGAATGGAACAGGGCGTCACTCTGTCACCCAGGCTGGAATGACGGAGTGAAGTGGTGCAAACATAGCTCACTGCAGCTTTGACCTCCTGGGCTCAGGCAATCTTCCCACTCAGACTCCTGTGTAGCTGGGACCACAGGGGTGTGCCACCACACCTGGCTAATTTTTTATTTTCATTTTTTGTAGAGACAGGGTCTTGTTATATTGCCCGGGCTGGTCTTGAACTCCTGGTCTCTGGCAACCCTCCTGCCTCAGTCTTGCAACGTGCTGGGATTCCAGATGTGAGCCACAGCACCGGCTCTTGCACTTGTTTATTTATAGGGGGCAGCCCTCAGAAGACAAACACAATGCAAAACATTTCCTTCAGGGAAGCCTGCGGCTGGCCACCCTGACCACTCTTGCCTCGTTTTACATCCTCACTCTGGGGATAGATGGGCCCCCTCCGTTAGCTCCATCAACATGCGGATGGAACCCTCAACTATTGATGACTACAGTTAATTTCTTTTTGAGGTGTTAGATGTTATGGTGCCTTCTAGTCTTTTGATAATTAAACATTTGACAAAACTCAAATGTTTGGTTAGCAACCAAGCCTATTTTTCTCTCCTTCAACCCAACCCCTATTCTACTTGATTTTGGTCGGTGAGGCCTGGGTTATCTTTGTTGATCCATGAGCCCAGTTTTGGTGCTGGGTTCTCACATCCAACTAGTTGTTCGTAGGTTCCATATGATTCCAGACTGACGCTGAACATCTGTGCCTGCCCTGCTTCTTGTTGCTTCTGTTATTTCTGTCATTGTGAAGACGGATCCAGTTGCAGAAGAACAAAGACCCAGTCAAAGATCTTTTCCAGATTATGTGGTTTTGGCTTGTGCTCTGCAGTCCACTCTGGGCTCATGCTTGCTGCGAGCACGTCCGTGAACATCAGCTGTGGGCCTCGTGCAGGGACGCTCAGGCTGCTCCCAGCAGGACCACAGTTTTGGCCTCTGAAACACAACTGAAGAAAAGCAGAGTGCTTTCTGTGATTTTTTTTAATCAATGTTTTCCACTTTTGCATTCCTAGGCTGCCCGCCTCACTGGAAGAACTTCACAGACAAATGCTACTATTTTTCGATTGAGAAAGAAATTTTTGAGGAAGCAAAGCTTTTCTGTGAAGACAAGTCTTCCCATCTCGTTTTCATAAACACTAGGGAGGAACAGGTATGCCTGCCACATACTTGGTCGGGGAAACTATAATTTAAGGATAGTTTACATCTGGAAATTGCAGGCTAGTTGGGGATTTGGAGATATCACGAATTCCTAGTCACGTAAACATGGGAGGCAACATTACAGAGATTTGGATTTCATCCAGTGGCTAGAAGCGTTCATGGCATTGGAATTGTATCTTCATGATTCTTCCTGGAAGGTATTACTTATCAAGCCTGGAGATGTGTGGCTCCTTCTGGTGGCTGTTGAAATAATTATAATGCAGAGAAGCTTGAGGGCTGCCACCAGGCACCTGTGGGGGCAGAGACAGAGGCATGAACACTGTAGGGATGGAGTGGGGTGCAAGGGACCACGCACGGCCCCAGAGGAGTCAGGAAGAGCAAAGAAGGCTGAGGAGGCAGGGCCCACACATGGTGATGCTAGTGTCCACTCATTAGACCCCTTCTGTATGCCAGGCACTGTGCGAGGCATCTTCTCCCTTAAACCTCACAACAACCCTGGAACGTAGGTATTATTATTGTCCTCATTTGACAGATAGGAAAACTGAGGCCCAGCAAGAGTTATGCAGACTGAGACCAAAACTGCGGCCCGTCTAGCAACAATGCAGCGCTTTCTTTGATACCACACCATTCCAGCAGCCTCCTCCCTTTTCCCTAAGTTATCTCCAGCAGACACAATCCTGTAAACAGATGTTTCCTGTAGTAACTGACTGGAATGAGCACACGGCAGAGAGTGACCAAGCACCTGGGCTTTAGAATACACAGACCGGGCCCAAGCCCAGCTCAGCTGCTTCTCATGCTTGTTTAATGGGTGGTTATAAAAGCTTGAAGACACACTGCGTGCAACACACTGCACATGGGGCCCAGCCCAGAGGAAGTGCCCAATAATATCATGACTATTCCTATGATTAGGACATGGGAGAAAGGGGTGGGTGGTAGGAGGAGGTGGAACCAATGGACATTCACTGAATTGTCTGCATGATTTAGAGGAAGAGCCTCACTTTAACATCAGTTGTAAACTTGTAAGAAGAAAAAGTCAAAGCCCCCCAAACAGTGCAAAACAGAGCAACTAGCAAGAAAAAAGCAGAAAGCAAAAGCAGGCTACACGTTCTAACAAATATCCTCTTTTAAATTGTCCTTTTTTCTAAATGTTAAATAAAAGAAGAAGGCCTGAGACATCTGTTCTGAAAAATAGTCACGCACCATCCCTGGTTTGTTTTTCAGCAATGGATAAAAAAACAGATGGTAGGGAGAGAGAGCCACTGGATCGGCCTCACAGACTCAGAGCATGAAAATGAATGGAAGTGGCTGGATGGGACATCTCCAGACTACAAGTAAGTACTCAGAAGCTTCCAGATTGGTGGTCAGGCTCTCACTGTTCTGTTGTCGCTTCTTGCCTGACTCCCAACAGTTTCTTCCTTAATGACCTCATGTCCTAGACGCTCCTCCCAAACTGAGGCTCCTGGTACTAGCTGCGTATTTCCCCTGGAGAAATCGTGGTTGACAGTTGATACGCTGTCAAATAAGGCTTCCCTTTCTTCTTTTCATGGAGGGAATTTTTTTTCATTTCTAAGGAAAAAATCATGAAACTCATAAAACCACACAGCGTAATACTTCTGGTCGAGGCATTTTCTTTAAACGCTATGGGAAAGCACGATGAAGCCCAGACAACCTCAAGCATGATCAGCGTTCGCCCCAGGCGTGTTTCCAAGAACTGGGGAGCTCCCTTCAGGATCACACTGTGGATGCCCCTGACAACCTAGTTGGGCTTCTAGGCAGAGTGTGATTAGAAACTACAGATGTGTAATTTTCCTGGCTCACGCCTGTAATCCCAGCACTTTGGGAGGCTGAGATGGGCAGATCACTTGAGGTCTGGAGTTCAAGACCAGTCTGGTCAACATGGCGAAACCTCGTCTTTACTAAAAAAAAAATACAAAAATTAGCCAGATATGGTGGCGCATGCGTGTAATCCCAGCTATTCAGGAGGCTGAGGCAGAAGAATTGCTTAAATCCGGGAGGCGGAGGTTGTTGGGAGCCGAGATCATGCCACCGCACTCCAGCCTGGGCCACAGAGCAAGACTCCATCTCAAAAAAGAAAAAAAAAGAAAAAAAGAAACTACAAATGTGTGATTTTCCTACACATAGGAAGTTAAAATACACCATAAACAAAGTTGCATTTGTGGGATAACCATCCCCTAGAGGTTTGAAGATTCCCTATAAGTCCCATGTGACCTAAGTTCTATGAAAGGAGCAACAAAGAACAGAATCACTTTGAGGTACCTTCTCAGCTAACCCAGAAGTCTCCAGGATCTCATCCTACCCCAGGGGATGTTAGCCCCTTCCCTAATTCTAACAATGACTGTATTGCATCAGTTTGATTTTCACGTCTCCGTACTCTGACTTTGCCTCTAACAGGTGTGAAAATTGCAAGGAACTGTAACAAATGAAGCAGAATTTATTTAAAAAAAAAAAAACCCTCTGAGTAACCTTTAGTTTGCTGGAGACAGAGAGGCCAGACCCTGCAGAGGCTCCACCAGGCACAAGAGCATCACCGCATTGGAAGCACTTTCTGAGCATTGGGCAAAGGCCATGATGTGGCCTCTGGGGCTGTCCCAGGAGAGGAGAAAACAAGGGTGTTTCAGGCCTAAGACAGTCTCATGGCCATGGAGGCCTAGGCTTGTATCAGCCGAGCAGCAAGGAGGAGGGTCAGAGGTGATACAGAAGCCAGATCGAGTTTTTAAAATGTCCCTGTGTGCGTGTCCATGTGCATTTGGATAAATAGGCTCTTTTGTACTTTCAAATTCTCCATGGAGTAGGATTCAGAGGATAAAGGAGGAAATCAGAATAAGGCCCATCTCCTCTTTATTTTGTTGTTTTTAAGAGACAGGTCCTCGACTCTTGTTGCCCAAGCTAAGGCAGTGCACAATCATGGCTCACGCCCACCGCCCTTATTCTCCCCAGCTCAAGCGATCCTCCCACCTCAGCTCCCAAGCCCTGGGACAGCAGGTGGGCGCGAGCGCGGGGGGGGCTACCATCGGTTTAAGCTCTTTGTTAGAGGCGGCGGTCCTCATATGTTGTCTGGTTGGGCTCTCAAACTCCTAGCCTCAAGTGCATCCTCCACCTTTGCCCTCCCAAGCACTGGGATCACAGTATGAGCCACTGCAAACTAGCCAGGCCCCCCATCTCTTTATAAAAATAAACACTGTGGCCAAATATTGATTTGAAACTATTGTAGAAAGGATTTAGGCGTTCGCTTCTGAAGAGTTGTAGACTGTACCCGTAAGGGCAAGTGGATTTCTGCTGCAGCGCGCTGTCAGGACCCGCTCTGTTCTCTGGCCTGTCCGGGAGAGAAGGGGGTCGACGCCCCTGGCATCCTGCTGGCCACTTGAGATGTTGTCCCTGATGAGCCAAGAACGGTGCCCACACATCAAGGGACACAGCTTTAGGAGACCAAAACGTTTGAGATCACATCGTGAAACGGCTAGCTGTAGAAGGCCTTGCGATGGCCTGGGATGGGAGGAAGAGGACTATTTTTTAGAAAGACAAATTCTGCTTTTTTTACAGCCAAGAAGTGCCAGGCCTTTTTTTGTTTTGTTTTGTTTTTAAGAGATGTTGGAGAAGCTGGGAACAAAATCATCTTCTCCACTTTTTCGAACTCCATAAATTGCACCAAAAGGCTGTTAGACTCACCAAGAAAGTTCACAATCTTGTAGCCTTTCTCAAGAAACAACACCTGGATTTCGCCGGATGCTGAATGAATTTGGGCCTGAACCGATGACGTCGTGTGCCAGGCTCTCCCAATGGACATTTTTCTCCTCCTTCCCCTGCGCGGTCAGCGAGATAGATATGATGTTGCGACTGTGCGCCCGGCGTTAGGTGACCAGACCTGAGCCCACGAATGCACGCTCACAGCCACACCTCAGTCTGGACGCGCAGTCCCCACCACCAGGCCACCGTTCTGGAGCCCTCCCACCACATCCCCTCAGCTCTCGCCCCCCCCACCCACCCGAACGGCCACACCACAAGGCTGTCGCTTCTCGTATTTCCACCAAAGAATAACCATAGCACATAAAACATTTCCCCAGGACAAATTTTCGAAAGCAAGAATAAGTTAGCAGGCAGTTTGAGGGCTCAATAATCCAAAGCTATTTAATTTGACATATAATAATAAACATGACACACTAGAAAGCAAGCGCGCAGTAAGGGAAGGGAGTTGCATGCTCCAGCGTCAGCAAGATCGGTTCTGGCCTGGTGAACCAGCAACTCTCTAAAATGCAGGCCTCATAGCGAGTTTCCTACATCCCCACAAAAACTCCATGTCCCCGCCCATTTAGAAGATGAATTTACAACAAGTAGCTATGTCGCAGTATTGTGAACAAGCCCACAAACTGTCGATAGCTTTGTAGTAAAGCCTTCTAGTAAGGTTGGCACCGTAGAAGGTGCTCGGAGACAAATACGGTACACTCCGAGGTTGAGTCGCCTCACTTGATGACCTATTATCAGTCTAATTGTATTGGTCGATATGAGTTAGCAGTTGCATAAACGTACAGTACATAAGCACGCTCAGTGAGATTTGTACGAGTATCCCTGATTGGGATGTCCACACAGTGGGCTTGATCAAGTCCACAACAGGGTGTGAAGACACAAGAAAACGGGTCTCTGCAGCGGGGAGAATGGACCGCAGCGCGGCTGGAGGTCTCGCAGGCAGTCTCCCACAAGTAAGAAGGACGCGCCCAAACCTGTTCCGTCTAGCGCAGACCCACTTTTAGGGGTGGGAGACAGAGGCTGGCGGCGCGCGAGCTGGGAGGCGAGGGGATGATCGTCGGCTTCACGCAACCTAGCGCGTCCAGGGGCACAGCGCCGATTCCGGCGCGGCGAGAGCCGCGGCGGCGCGCGAGGGAAGCAGTACACGCCCTGACCGCCCACCCGGCGCACCTGCTCGGCTCAAAGCGTTGGTTTGGAGTAGTAGAGATGGGGTTTCACCATGTTGGTCAGGCTGGTCTTGAACTCCTGACCTCAGGTGATCCCCCCGCCTCAGCCTCCCAAAGCGCTGGGATTACAGGCGCGAGCCACCACACCCAGCCATCAGACTGACTTTTACTCGCCTCGTCTTTGCATCTGTGGCCTCTAAGCGTTGGCCCATCCACCTCCCTTACCCCTGCCACCAGCAGTGATTTCTGGAACAGATCATCGCAAGAGACTATTATGAACAATTATTCACCAAAAAATTGGATAACCTAGAAGAATGGATAAATTCCTAGAAACCTATAGCCTACCAAGACCGGATCCAGAAGAAATAGAAAGCACAGGCTGAGGTGGGAGTATCATTTGAGGCCAGGAGCTCAAGACCAGCCTGAGCAACAGAGCAAGACCCCCATCTCTTAAAGAAAAACAAGGAAAAAAAAGGAAGAAATAGCCTGGCCAGCCTAATAACAAATAAGGAGATTGAAGTAGCAATCAGAAACCTCCCAAAAAAAATAAGCCCAGGACCAGATGGCTTCACAGCCAAATTCTACCAAACATTCAAAAAGCATCAGTCCTTCTTAAACTCTTCGAAAAAATAGAAGTCGATGGGCCTGGCACCATTCCATCCCTTGCCCAGGCTAAGAAGAATTAAGTACCACTGCTTTCCCCTTACTCTTTTCTCCCAGCACACATACCATCCTTTTAAAACAGTTCATGGGTTTCGTGGTTACTGTTAAAGAGAAAATAGACGAGGGGTAAAAGGCTCTATCCTCTGTGTCTCGGCCTCACCTCGTTTTTCATGCTGAGACCTGGTTGTGAAAGAGAGTGCTGGAATGGACAGCAACAGTGACATGGAACAGAAGCCAGAGGCTTAGGGGACACACAGATTGAGCTCAGGCCTATTTCCTATGAAACACTCAAACTGACTTGCTGAATCTTATGGCTCCTTCTGCACTGCAGCAGGACAGGACCAGCTGAGGGGAAAGGGTGGCGTGAGATGCCAGCTGCAATGGCCCAAGACAGTTCCAAGGATGGGTCCCCAGGGGCTTTGGATCCACACACCAATACAATTTCAAAAGAAAGATTGGCAGGTCTGACACAGATCAACAGGATTTTATTTGCCGATTAAGGACAAGGCTTTAAAAAAGTACCAATCGGCAAATCTCAACATTAAAGAAAATAGTAAACCTGTAATTATTTCCAGGAAGAGACGGCTGGCCATCTTACATTCACACACACACACCACACCGTCCTTATTCTTCTCCTTTCACCAGGTCCTGTGAAAACTTCATTCTTGGTCAACACCCAGTCCGTGACTGGAGATTAGAGTCCATTGGCCCATAGTCTCATGATAACATTTGATGAATTA